AGCTGTGTTGCCATCCTTTTGATCAAATGCAAGACTGTTTTGCAATCACTTTCCATGCATTATTTTGAATGGGTTGACCAGGCAGGTGGGTGGTGTGGGAGGGCCTGATAAAACAGATCAAACAGGACATTTGCAATTACGGGGTTTTGGGGAGGAACTTGAACAGAGGAGTGCCTCAAAGGCCTGAGCTGCATCAGGCTGGTTCTTAGCATTCCGCTACAATAATATTGGAACTGAATTTGTTGGCCAAATAAAGTTGAGATTTTAATACTATTATGTCTCTTTGTGTTTGTCAGACTATAGCATGAATATATTTGAACGTGACCTGAAAGAGGATTAGAGTTCTAGGGTGATTCTCAAGGGACTCTGCCAAAATGGTGTGTGTTTGTCAGCTTTCTCAAACTTTCACTAAATACCACATTTTTTTGAGAGAAACTATGCTTTCCGAATGCTTCCAGTTTTGCAGGTGGCTTCTGGTACCTTAACCTGAAGAAATTTGTATTGTGTAATCTATAAAGGAAAAGAACTTCAAGATGACCATGTCACGTCCAGATTAAATCAGCTTGTGCAGGCAGACAACTAACAGCCCTGTTAGCAGTGAGCGGATGTTGGCTTAGGCTCTGAGAATAAGCAGCTCCGCTTGCCAGCTGGCCTGAGGTGAGAGGACCTCATGGCTCTCGAGCAGTTAACCAAGGAATTTGTCTACAGGGAAACCTGGGGCTGCCTGTGGTGCTGCTAGTCAGGCTCACATGATCCAGTGAGCTACATTGCTATTTCCAAACCAGTCACTTATGCTGAAAATATTTTTGTAAGAAAATATGCTATAAATGTCACATGTGAGGGCATGGTGAAGCTAGAGGGCAACTCGGCAGGCTACTGGTGCCTGTCACTGAACGTGGGTTCACTGGGGTGGTAGAACAGAAGCATTGTACAACACTTGTCTGCAGCTCCAGCCTCCTCCTGTGGTTCCCCTGGGAACAGAGCCCCTGCCAAGGCCTGGCGTGGTGTGCACAAACCTTTGGCACAGCAGCACCAGGGCTGGGGCCGAACAGGCAATCACTGACCGTGGGATCAGAAAACAGTGTTTCCTACTGCCTGTTCTGTTAGTAATCAGTTGTGTTGTGTTTGTGACTGTTACCTGCGGTTATGTGGAGAGCGATCTTTGAAGATGCCTCCCGCTAGGCCTGTGACCTCGCGTGTCTGAAGGCAGGGGACTTGTTCTTGGTGTAGCCCCGCTGCCATTGCCATACCCCAACAGAGCGGGCAGTGCTGGTGGCCGGTGTCAGGGCTGGTTCCTGGTAGCTGCTTCTGAGGAAGAAAGCTGCCTTGTGTTTCGGGGTGGGGAGGAAGAGAGCACTGCTAGTAAGAAGTTCCACTGGTAGGTGCTGGCCAGGACTTGGCTCAGAAAGGTCCATTTGTGGAGCCAGTTAAAGTGTAAACAGGGCTGAGCTTTGCAGTGGTTCTCTGTTTATGGTCTGAGACCTGCCTTGCTCAGCTCAGAGGAGGGGGGCTTTTCTCATACACCAAGGCTGCTCTTGGCAGAGCAGGACTCCATCAGAGTCATCTTGTGTACACAGCTAATTGCTGTTCCAAGAAAGCAAGCTAAAAGCGTTTTGTCTCCGCAGCAGACAGCTCAGCCTCCTATTGCACAGTCTTCTGTCTGACGTACCGCTGAGCAGAGATGCTCAGTAAAAAGATCAATGCGTTTGCCAGAAGTGAACAAGTGCAGCAGGCAGTTTTCAGGTGGGTGGCTGACCGAGCTGTCGGCCTCACTGCTGGCAGGGGTTCAGGACAAGGGTCTGCTGCAGAAGGGGCAGAATGAAATCTCTGAGACTCCTAACGCAGGACAGGGGTTTTTCCTGACGCACCGCAGGGGAGTTCATTGTCCTGCCTGGACAATCCCCATCAGCACGAAACAGCACAATATGCTCGTGTATCTGACATGACCAAACTTTGATGGGGCAAAGGATGGAGGAGCAGTTGTTGCTTGAACCCATGGCAGACCTGAAAGATTCCTCTGTGGTAAATGGTCCATTTTGGGCCTTTGACAGCTACAGCTGGAGGGTAACGAATGCAGGAATTGTCTGGTGGTGGTGCTATTCTTCAGCTATTCTTCTGAGGTTGTTCTGTAGAAGCCTGCCCTTACGTAGCAGCTGGTTCTGAGTTTGAAGTAGGATATTGAACACCACGGACTGGCATTGTAGGCTTCTGGTTCTGCGCCTGCATCGGAGGCACCAGCAGCACCTCTGTCCTCGCAAGGGCACTGGTAATATCCAACACGCTGGTGGTGTTTTCCATGCTTAGCTGTACGCTGTCTCGCAGTCGTGCTGGGCAGCACAGCTCATTCTGCTCCTTTCAAGTCGTCTGATGCAACTACAGGAGAGTGACTTAGCTCTGAATGTATTTGGCACCGTAGCTCTGACACGTCTGCATTGCGCTGGCTGGTCAGTACATGAGCAGCTGGTTCCTCTTGCTTGGTGATCGTGCTTGTGTCTTTTCCCTGGCACGCGTGCGTGTGTGTGTGTGTGTGTGAG